TTGGTCCTACATTAGTTTGCTTACGACGCATTTTTACGTACGAAAATATAGGGTGTAACAATGCCTTTTAGAAATTTACCCTTGTATTTGACATTGATCACAAGCCTTGACCATTTGATTTGCGTCATGGTAGATCGATGGCCAATAGTATCCACATTCGAGCACTTTTGCTGCCGTCCGGTTTCCTCCATGATGGACCCCAACCGGGGAGTCATGGCATGCCTTGAGAATTGGCATTACCTCATCTTCCGGAACACATCGCCGAATGATGTTGTCAGCACAAATACGGAACAAAAATGACTTCTCCCAATAGTATTGCCTATACTCCCGCAAGAACTTTTTTTTTGATAAGCTTCCAATCCATCGAGAACAAGGTCACTAACCAAGAAGTTGGCAATATCGGCATACCAAGGAGCGAATGTGCCAGACAATGCCAATATGTGCTCATCTGGAAAGGCATCATTGATTTCAAGGTTCTCTTTTTGCCTCCCTGCTTCTTCAAGCCTAGATAGGTGATCCGCAACTTGATTTTCTATCCCTTTTCAATCCTTGACTTTAAAGTCAAACTCTTGCAACAAAAGGACCCGCCGAATCAATCTAGGTTTGGCATCCTTCTTCACCATAAGATAGTGAAGAGCAACATAATCGGTGTAAACTATCACTTTGGACTGCAACAAATTGGTCCGAAATTTTTCAAATGCATAGACAATGGCAAGAAGTTCTTGCTCAGTCATAGTATAATTCATTTGAGCACCATTGAGTGTCTTGCTTGCATAGTAGATAGGGTGAAGGATTTTGTTATGCCGTTGACCAAGCACCGCCCCAATAGCGACACCACTGGCGTCACACATGAGTTCAAATGGAAGGGACCAATCGGGTGTGACAATAATAGGTGCCGTGGTGAGCTTTTCTTTCAATTCTTCAAAAGCTTTGAGACACTTCTCATCAAATACAAACTTTGCATCTTTTTCAAGGAGCTTGCACATGGGATTTGTAATTTTTGAGAAGTCCTTGATAAAATGTCTATAGAAGCTGGCGTGCCCCAAAAAGCTCCGGACACCTTTTGCTAAAGTGGGTGGAGGAAGCTTGGAAATGATTTCAATCTTTGCACGGTCAACCTCTATGCCTTGTTTGGAAATTTTGTGGCCCAAAACAATGACCTCGTCCACCATGAAGTGGCACTTCTCCCAGTTTAGCACAAGGTTTGTTTCTTCGCATCTTTTGAGCACTTGTTTAAGATTGTCAAGACAATGCTCAAAGGAATCACCCACTACATAGAAGTCATCCATAAACACCTCTAGGAAGTTTTCCACCATGTCCGAGAAGATTTACATCATGCATCGTTGAAAGGTAGCCGGGGCGTTGCATAACCGAAATGGCATACGGCTAAAGGCAAAAGTCCCATATGGGCATGTGAATATTGTCTTCTCTTGATCTTCCAAGGAGATGTTGATTTGGTTGTAGCCGGAATATCCATCCAAGAAGCAATAGAATGACCTTCCTACTAGCCGATCAAGCATTTGATCAATAAAAGGCATAGGAAAATGGACTTTGCACGTGGCACTGTTGAGCTTCCGGTAATCCATGCAAACTCTCCATCCGGTCACAGTTCTCGTTGGGATGAGCTCATTTTTCTCATTTTGGATCACGGTCATGCCTCCTTTCTTCGGTACACATTGCACCGGGCTCACCCAAAAACTATCGGGAATGGGGTAGACTACCCCGACATCTAACCACTTGATGATTTCCTTCTTCACCACCTCTTGCATGGAAGGGTTTAACCTTCTTTGATGCTCCATACTAGGTTTACTTTCTTGCTCCAATTGTATCTTGTGCTCACAAATTTCGGTGGGAATCCCTCGGATGTCCGCTATTCTCTACCCAATGGCTTGTTGGTGTTCCCTTAGGACATTCAACAAATGATCTACCTGCACATCATTCAACAAAGAATAAATGATTACCGGTAAAGTATAATTAGCGCCAAGAAATTTATACCTTAAGTGCGGTGGAAATGGCTTGAGTTCAAGTTGTGGCGGCTAAATAATTGAAGGCTTGGTGGGGGGAGTGAATCTATTCTCTAAGTCAAGAGAAATTTGCTTTGGTGCATAAGTGTAGGACCCACGTCCTTCTAATGCATTCAGCGATTCCATGTACCCCTCCATGTATTCACAAGGGTGAGAAGGAGTGTGTCTATTTTCGAGAACCAATTTGGATTTATGCCGGGGCGTTTGACTACAGAAGCCATCCACCTTGTTAGGAGATTGATGGAGTAGTATAGAGAGAGAAAGAAGGACTTGCATATGGTGTTCATCGACTTAGAAAAGGCGTACGATAAAGTTCCGAGGGAGGTTTTGTGGCGATGTTTGGAGGCTAGAGATGTACATGTGGCCTACATTAGGTTGATTACGGACATGTATGATGGAGCAAAGATGCGAGTGAGGACGGTGGGTGGGGACTCAGCCTTTTTTTGTTTGCTCTGGTGATGGACGTACTGACGCACCACATCCAAGGGGAGGTGCCGTGGTGTATGCTATTTGCAGATGATATTGTATTGATCGACGAGACACGAGACGGTGTGAATGCACAGTTAAAGGTATGGAGGCAGACCCTAGAATCTAAAGGTTTCAAGTTGAGCAAGTCCAAGACAGAATACTTGGACTGTAATTTCAGTGACGAGACTCAAGGAGAGGAAGGGGAGGTATGGCTGGACTCGCAAGTCATCCCCAGGAGAGGGAGTTTTAAGTACCTTGGGTCTATTATTCAGGGGGGTGGGCAGATTGATGAAGATGTACACATCGTATTGGGGCGGGATGGATGAAATGGAGACTCGCTTCCGGTGTTTTGTGTGACAAGAAGGTGCCACCGAAACTTAAGGGTAAGTTCTACAGAGTGGTGATAAGACCAACGATGTTGTATCACTACAAAAAAAAATAGTGTTTAGCGACGGACGTATTTCGTCGCTAAACCACTTATTTCCGTCGCTACAGTTGTATAGCGACGGATTCAAGTTTGTCTTAAAAATGCTTGTAGCTAGGCTCATAGCGACGAAAAACACCAAACCGTCGCAGGATTAGCGACGGAATATATCTGTAGCAAATTTTAGTGATGGAAATAGCCGTCGCTATATTTCTTGTTTCTGTCGCTATTTTGACGAAATTTATCGCTACGATACATAACAAAATTCATCGTTTGTTCTTACTAGCAACGAAAGCGTCTGTCGCTAGTCGTGTTATAGCTAATTCTCCCTGCTTTGTGCAATAAAAACCTTTTGTCGCCAATTCGTCGCAAGATTTAATTTTACGCTGTAATTTTAGCTACGAAAAATATTCGTCACTAATTTATTTTTAATCTATTACTAATTTTTAAAAATTCTTTTTATTTATTATTTTAAATGTACTCTGTTCAAGCATATTACATAAAAGCTATTAAATACCTTAATAAAAAGTCACTGATATTAATATAAATTAACAATATATTCAACAAGGTCCAAAATATATAGCATAATGCATATAATGGTATCGTTAAGTACAAAAAATCCACAAGGACTAATAATAAAGTCCAAACAAAATAGGCTAACTATGCGAGGCTGGAGAGTTACGGTCATTATCGGAACCCAATGCATAAACCTCATCAACGTTAGCAGCAGTAGAAGATGTAGGAACTGTAGGTGCCATATCTGATGGGTGGTTGGTAAGATCAGTATTTGGCTGATGCGAGGGTAAGGAAACTAATTCGCATACTCGCTCAACGATTACAGGAACTATATGATCTGTCAGTGCAGGAATCAATCGCATCACTAACTCATCCAGATTCCCTGTCGGTGTTGATTGAGCATATGGAGGTGTTGCTGACGATAAAGCATCAGATCCAAAAGAGTCATGAAGATTTGGCCCGTAGTAGCATTTTGCTTGAGATCCAAGATCATATACTCTTCATTTCTTTTCTCCTCCTGCGGCTTGATAATATTCTTTACACTGATCAATATCAGATTGAGTCTGTGTTTGTTGTTGTGATATCTCCTGATATTTTTCCTGTAGAAGAGTTAATAATTAGTGAAATAGAAAGACTAAAGAATATTGAGCATTCAATTTACAAAATAAAAAAATATATGAAAGTAAAGTCAATAAAATTATTTAAAAAGTTGTCTTACATGTACGATTTGAGATTTCTCACCAACAAAAGATCTTCCATCATTACCATGTGTATGGACGTGCAAATGCAACTCACTTGGTGTTGGATCTCGACTTTTTTTAGTAGCCTATGCAAAAGTTATTCAATTCAGAAGATTGACAAAAAAATGTTTGTGTAAAAATGAGATTGGAAATAACAAAAAGAAAATACTAGTCTTTGTTGATCCATAATAACAACTATAGCCAACTGTTTTTGCCTCATATTATATTTTAAAGCAACAAAGCATCTAGAAATTTTCAATTATATATGTAGTAATGTAGCATTCATGTACTGCCAATTAATTCATGTAGCATCTAGAAATTTTTAATTATATAGATCCATAGAAGATAAATGTTTATTACTGAAAATAATGCCAGTAATAAACCAAGCCAAAACCTAAAGCTTTAACAATCATATGATGCGCAAGTTTTGCCAAACAAATCCGCCGCAACGCATCAAAAAATTGATTTGCTTCCTATTAAAATTATCCATGGAGAACCAAAAATTGAATTCACCATGGAGGATGTTAATGAGTTCACCATCAAAGAAGTTTTACGCCAAGCTATCGTCGTCAAGTTTTCTTATGGAAAACCAGATCTGCACGAGCTTAGACAGATTTTTCCAAAACAGTTCTAATACCGTGGTTACAAGTTCTGGGGGAGTATAGCATTACATATTCTCAAGTTGGTAAAGTGGCATATGGTGATCGACCTGCTGTCGCACTGGATAATTCAGCAGGTGTGAAGGCTAACGGTGTGGATGTTGTGGGGAAAGAACATGTAGGTGTTTTGGCATTAGATGATAAAGCTACTACAGGGTATAAGGCAGTGAATTTAGAAGCTAAACAGTCTCAAGTTTTAGCAGGAATTGTGCAGGATGTTGTTGGTAATGGAAGTAGGGTACGTGAAGTTGGTCAAGGATCCGATGTTAAATCCCAACATAGAACAACTATTAATGTTGTTGTAACAGTTCCAGTTACAACAGCTCATAATAGGGTTGCTAAGGAATTGAAGGCTTCTACGGTTGTTGTGTTAGATCGAGGTTTAGTTGGTATTTCTAAGGGTCCAGCTGCTGCGCAAAAAGCTGATGAAGCTGCGCATCAAGTGTCACGACCCAAACCAATGGGCCATGAGGAGTGCCCGAGTCCTACCTGTCGAACACCCCTAAGCACGTGTCTAAGATATAACATGAATTAAGGGTAGGTCATGAATAACATCTGTCATTAAACTGTTGAATCACATGAATAACATACGTGAGAAAAATATGTCCAAAAGACATATATACATATACATGCGGAATACGGTAGGGCGAGCCGACAAGGCTGCTATAGACAACTATTTATCCAAAATTAAAAGCCGACAAAACCACATACTATCCAACTATACATGACTGCCTACAGACCTCTAATAGAGTGTACAATCGTATAAAGGACAGGACTAGGCCCCGTCGTACCCATATCTACATACCAAAAATAGCGTACCAAAACTAGTAACAGCTCCGGATCAAGAAGAGCACACCAACTCTCGCTGATCAAGGATCCTAAAAAGGGGGACCGTCAGCTTGTCTACCTACACCTACGGGCATGAAACGCAGTGTCCCCAAGGAAAAGGGACGTCAGTACGAATAATGTACCGAGTATATATGTCACAAAAATCAGTACATAAAAGACATAAATAAAACATGGAGTAAAGGAATCCGCCCGTAAGTCTAAATAACTTTGTGAATCCTGAAATATTTATAAGTCATGCATGTGCGTATAAATGTCATATCATGCACAGGTATATGGGTACATAACATCATCCAGCCTCTGAGGGCATCCCGTCATATCATCTCGGCCTCTGTGAGCGAAATCATCACGTATACCAACTGATCAGGTAGTGGTGCGTATATAACGTCGTAACCTTTTCCCATATCCCATATACATATAATATACGCGTATATAATGCCATCTGGTCATGGGTCAATGTACATGTATAAATGAATGCAATGCATAATGAAGTAAGTCAATAAGATCTTTCGGATAAACTTTATCAACTTACGTATTTTTCTAAGACCCATGAACAAATAATATAATAATAGAACACATGGGAAATCAAGAACATAGGCACTCCTAGTACTTCTATGAATAGAGCCATTTATGAAAGTTGTGCGTTTACTCGTTTCATTTGTATCATATGGATCATGCCAAAAGGAAAGAAGGTGTTACACCCCATGTTTTCGTACGTGAAAGTACGCCATAAATAAATTGATGGAAGCTCGTAAATGAGATGTTACATCCCACATTTTCGTATGTTAAAGTTTCATCGTAAGTTAATCGACGTAAAATTCGGGAATGAGGTTATTTTGAAATTATAAGCATTATGCTATTTCAAACATGTGATGAGTAAATTTGTGAAGGAAAAAGGGTAAGCGAATCAAAGAAAAGGAATTTCGTCAAAGTTTGACATTTTGGGATAAAATATGGCCCGAGCTAAAATACCCAGTATTTATGGACTAGCGCCATACAAGGTACCACATGACCATGATAGTAAGGTGTATAATGTATGTAAAAGTGAGTAGTATTTTAAATAAGTTGAGGTATTCTGAATTATATAGGCAATTGGTTAATTATTGGATAGTAGGAGATTATTAAGTTAATCAAGAGATTAGTGGTTGATTAATAATGATTTTGGATAAAGTTTGAACCCCATTAACGTGGCAGCCAAAGACTTTATATAAATGTGACTCTTGAATTCGCATGAAATGTGGCAAAACTTGGAAAATGTTTTGGCCAACTAAGCCACATGTGGGGCCCACCCCCACTTAGTAAAAGACTTTTCAAAAATCAAGAGAATGATGCTTGAATCAGAACACAAAGGATTCCAACACTAGCAACATTAATTCACTTTCCAAATAGCAACGTTGTTGCTAAGTTCTTAATGAAAGGTTTCTGCCAAGATTTACTTTGCATTGCAACGTGATTACTTCGAGCTTTTCATACGACTTGTTCCATATTTTGTCGCAATTAACGGGTGTTAGAGGATTGTCAAGAGAATCGACTCAGGTATGTTAAGGCTATCCCTTCTTTCCTTTTGGCATGATCTATACGACACGAACGAAACGAGCAAATTCACAATTTCCATAAATGACTCTATTCATAGAATCACTAGGGGTGTCTATATTCTTGATTCCCCATGTGAATTATTATTATTATATCTTCTGTTTATGGATTTCAGAAAAATATGTATATGATAAAATTTATCCGACAGGCATATTATTTTTATGACATTCCGAGAAAATTTTATTAACGTATTTCTTATGCATTTCATGTATTTATACATGTACATTGACCCATGACCAGATGGCGTTATATACGTGTATATTATATGTATATGGGATATGGGAAAAGGTTATGGCGTTATATACGCACCACCACCTGATCAGTTGGTATACGTTGATGATTTGCCCACAGTGGTCGAAATGATATGATGGGATACCCTCAGAGGCTTGATGATGTTATGAACACATATACCTATGCATGGTATGACATTTATACGCATATGCATGACGTTATAAAAATAAAATAATTCACAGAGCTATACAAACGTACATGTCGAGTCTTTTACTCCATGTTTCTCTCATGTATATTATTTACTGATTTTCACTCCTTACATGCTCGGTACATTATTTGTACTGACGTCCCTTTTGCCCGGGGACGCTGCGTTTCATGCCCGCAAGTCTCGATAGACAGGTCGAGAGTCCTCCAAGTAGACTATCAGTTCAGCGAAAGATGTTGGTATGCTCCATTTGCTTCGGAGTTGCTTGTTTGGTTAGTATGAGTTAGACGTGTATTGTTTGGTATGGCGGGACTCTGTCCCGACCTTTATGAAAATTATGTATCCTTAGAGGCTTGTAGACAGATGTCATTTACATGAAAGATTGTATGGCCTTGTCGGCCTATGTTCAGTGTACTAGTGGTTAATTTGGTCTTATAGGCCCGTATGTCTTGTGTATAAGTTGGTATTACATGTTGTATTCTACTTATCTCACGGCAGCCTTCCGGCTCAGTTATCTATGATAGTATGACATGAAAAGATACGTTATGTTGGTACTCGGTTGAGTAAGGTACCGGGTGCCCGTTGCAGCCCATCGATTTGGGTCGTGACAAAAGTGGTATCAGAGCAGTTTTGTCCTAGGGAGTCTACAAGTCGTGTGTAGTAGAGTCTTGTTTATGGGTGTGTTGTGCACCGCACTTATAAGCAAGAGGCTACAGGGCATTTAGGACTGTCACTCTTTCTTCTTACTCTAGATCGTGTGGTAGAGCTCAGTTGTAAGAACTCAATTTCCTAAACTCTATCTTATTCACAATACGATGATGCCTATATCCAGAAAGACGGTTGGTAAGAGATATAGCTGTGGAAGAGTTGAGTCAGAGGAACTCAATTTTTGCATCATGCTTATGATGGATAAATATTAGGTATTCAGCGGATCATGTGTGTACTAAGATGTGTAAACTTCTTGATAACGATCCCTAAGGCAAGAATGTCTATCCACTCTTACGATAAAAAGGAATAAGAGAATAGGAAAGTAGACACAATTTTCAGCAAGTAAAAGAAGCAAGACGAAAAAGGGTACGAGCTACCCAGCTAATGAAGATTATCTCAGAGGAATATAAGCCTTTTGAGTTACCTTCAACAATAACAGAGATATGCACAATTGGCCACACCCATCTCATGTATGCCTTATGAGGGCTAACAGGTGTAGTTTAAGAAAAGGACGGGATACCAGGATCTAGCTAATGTTAGAGTAACCCAAAATGGTGAATGAATTGTTTGTGTTAGTTGACATTTCCGAAGGATATTACAAAGGTGCTAATAGATCTTCTTGTGAGGCACCCGGATGGTGCACTCTAGAATATTACAATTAGATGTGAATACTAGCATGATCAAAAAAATTCAGAAGATAGGCACTTAAAGCCAGGAAGGGATAAATATTACCTTAGTGTGGCTCGCGTCCCTAGTAGAGTGAGAACGTTAAGAAACCCGAAGAGCCACTGGATGGAACAAAGGGGAGCTAAAAGCAAAAAAATGTCTTGTTCGAGTTTTCAGAATAAAGTGATAGACATAAATGTTAGCGGGAAATAAGAAAAGAGTTAATGAAGCATTATGAGTAAGAAATGATACATGAATGACAACGGTATATCAAAAGATGACAGTATTACAGAGTCTATAGTCAAGTGAAGG